CCACGCAAACCCAATACCGTCAGTATACAGTTAGCATTTGTAATAATGAAAATAAACTTGCCTAATTAGATCAAAAAGTTGAAACTTGAACTCCATTTTTGCATAGGAACAGATACTCAAAATATTGAAAAGAATATTTCTAATATGGAGAGTTTCTTGTACTTTCTGGAAGTCTGAATGGGTGTCAGATAGGCCAGAAAGTTTTGGGTGGTTTTTTTTTTTTTAAAATCAAAGTATTATACAACTTATGAAAGAAGCAACAGTGAAAACCCTTTCACTTCAATTTAAAAGCTATAAGGAAATACTCAGTGAAGTGAATATAAAAGCTCTTTGAGACACAGAGGAAATGGGAAACTGCATGTAGTTACTGCTTCTGATGCCGCACCTTACACAGGGGAACTAGAGGAAGCCGTTTGTACTCTAAATAATCCTGATTTTGATTGGATGAAAGAAGCTGGTTAAATGAGCTATGCTTTACAGAAGCTGTATCAAAGGCTCAGGTTGAGTTACTCTGTGTTGGTGATGTTTATCTTGCAACCATTTAAGTCAAGAATCCCAGTCATGAGTTAGAGTCCCATTGGAAGAGGAATAGTACAGCTAAGGAGCAGGAAGGCGTGGAATGTTTTTGGCTGAGGATCTAGAAATAAATTTGATTGTATAGTGACAATTTTAAGATTTGCCTGTAAAACATATCTCTTAAGAAGATGCTGAAAGCAGTCTTGAGTGGTACTGGTTCTGAAAATGAGAAAAAAAAAAAAAAGCAGGAAGTCTGTGTGCTGGGCAAAACATTTCACTGTTATGTTAGGGTAGAGGGAAGTGTGAACATTTCACTTCTTACAAAATGCTAACTTTGTTATGCATTTGTAGTTATTTTCCTGCTGTGTTGCAAGATCAAAATGCAGCTGTACTCAATAACATGCGTTTATACTGTTAAGTGTATTTTGCTGTGGTATCATTATACTTAATGTGGTTAAATGATGTTTTACAATACCATCTTCTGCAGGAGGGAGATCCTTGCTTTTATGTGCCCTGCTGATGGGTTTGGTACATCCATGGAAATCTTAGAAAAGGTCACTGAGAACAACTATAGCCTTTTTGTTCTTTTGCTTTTAAAGAAAGGAATTGTCAGGTTGTTGTTGTGTGTTTGGTTTTTTTGGATGAGGAGGAGGAGTGAAGACAACAATTCAATTTGCTTGCAAACAAATAGATTTTAATAATAATTAGAAAGCCTTCTGGAAATAAATACTCGTGTGTGTAGGTGGCACGTTTAGGTAGTTTTAAGATAAAGCAAACTTAAAGCCACTACTATGGAGGACATTTTAGTAAAGTTTTAAGTATGTTAATCCTTCTTTTCCTCTCTCTCTTCCTTTAGTTCCATATATGAAACAAGCATATGATTGCTAAGTACATATTATGGTATTTTATTGTCTAGTTAATGATCCTGTTCAGTTTGTAAGGAGGAAGAAATTAGAGTGAAATCTAAACCTCATCTTTATATTAACTTCATTGGAGCCATTTCATTCATCAATAATGCCTGCCTTCTAGAGCTCAAACTAGAAAAGAATAAAAGCCAAAGGTATGGGGGCGAAGGTATTATATACTAAATATCATTTAGAGAAATGAGGACATTAGTAAGCATGTGGAGTCGCAGAAAATTTTGTTTTTCTAAGTTATATTTTGAATTGTCTTCATTTTTTCCAGCAAGCAGCTTTTTTTTCTCACATTAATTCTCAGCATTGGTTTTACTGTTCTTACTTTTTAGCATTCATTGATATTAGAGTAGGTCATCATAACAGTTGCTTCTACCTTTGTTAGTAATTACAGAATGGAGGTTTTTGGACTCTTATTTGGAAAATTCAAGGACCAAGAGTCATTGACTGTGTACTGTTTAGTCATGGAAGTGAAATCTGTTGCTCTGGAGATAGCTTGTTGTTCAAAACCTTTGCCATCGATTCTAGTAAAACTACATTTAGACTCGATGCCATGATTCTTTAGGTGTTTAGTGTTCTGCTAAAGGGACTTTGAGTAACAATAGAAGGGTTGCCCTAACGATTATTCTGAGTTTTCATTGAACTAGATAAAAAATGTAATTTGATTCTTGAAACATTGAGTTACTCTAATATCTGCCTCTTAAAAGTCAGAGGCCAATCTTAATACTTTCTGCTGTATTTCTTCATATATTTTTCTAGATTACTATCTTATTCTGGTTTTACTATTGTTCTAAACATTAAGTTGAGCTTTCCTGTAGAAAAGAAAATTGCTGTGTACAAAACCCCTTTTTTTTTTTAAACCCTAGTTTTTTGATTAGTGTGTAAGGCTCTAGATTGTTATCCTCTCACTCTGTCTTGCTGTTAGATATGTCAGTTGATGAAGGAGTTTGGAAAGTTAACCGTTCCAAGGATTCTGCCCCAAATTATGGTGAAATTCAATGTAACCCATTGTTCTTTCTGTTCTGGATTTACATCACTGCAATAACAGTAATTCCTAAATAACTTGTTTATTTGATGAGTATTTTTTTCCTAATTATGGTGGTTTCAATTCCAAAAGGCTCAAAGTATTTTAAGGCCTATGTATAGTAAGTACAGAATTGTTGTTACAAGGCAAAATTCAGAGAAGTAAATTGGAGTGTGCAATGGCTATCCATATGGAAGGAGGAGGAAATTTTGGCTAAGAATCTAAGTAAAACTCTAGAACTTACAAAAAGTGATGTATGATACTGAAAAGAGCCATCGGGATCCAATTTAATAAGTTATTCTGTCTGCCTTCACCTCTCCTTGAGTGTATGTACAGATAATTGATCAAACCCATTCAGTTTTCTCTGGAAGCATAAGGAGTTGAGATTTGAACCAATTGTTCTTTGGACTTTAGGGAATTACAGTCCTTTAGCTGAGCATCCAGATTCAGCATTTTTTTAGATTGCTTAAACTATCAACAGCATTTATGAAAGTGGTCAGACTGGTCAGAAATTAATATAAAAATATGAAATTCTGTCCTCTGCTGCTTTTTTAAATTGCATAGAAAGACATGACTGCACTTACTACTTGGCTCTAATTGAAAATGAGGTTTTTGGAAAAACAAATTTGAGATTCTCCTTTTTATCTCTTACCTCTTGAAAGCTGTTTGTGATTCTGTATTTGTTCAGCTTAGGCTGTGACTATTTGAATAAAGAAACTAAGTTTCCATATTGTATTGTTATAGAATACTTGTCAAGAAGAAAGTGCTTTGTAATTTTTCCTTTCTGACTTTAATGCATGGTTTTGTAAAGTGTCTTCGTAAGTTATAAAATCCTAGGATATGCAAGAGAAGATAGTTTGTCTTGGTTAATGAATACTAGGAAGAGTTCTGTAAATAATTCTATTCTTAAATAAAAATCATCCTCACAGAACAGACTATATGTACATCTGACACAACTTCTGTGAAGTTTTTGTATCTGTGGAGTGCCCCTTTTAAAAACAAATTTGTGAACTCTTCTAATTAATATTAATTTTAAAAGAATTTTGGGTTAACCTTCTGAAAAAGTCTTAGTACTACTTAGCTGTAATTCAGGAGAAAGTTAGGGTAAGGATTGAAGTTGTTCATAGTAATTAGTAGTTGTCGTTGAGGAAAAATTTCATCGTTCAGAGACATTCTGTTTTATTCTTATGGGATAAGCAAATTGTGATTTCTTTTTTTTCCACATTTGTTGTTTTGATTGTATTTAATCGTACTCTAAATTGTGGGGTTTTATTGCCAGCAGTCCCCCAGCAAGATCTCTTCATGGTGTTTTTCTTCCCACATCAAAGGTATTCACAACTGCACGTGCAGAATTCTAGCCTGACTACTTACATGTGTGGTTTTAAAGCTCTGTAAATAGAGATACCTGAAAGATTTAAACTTGCTGTGCTCAGTGTATACACTTACATTCCTTATGAATGCTTAGGGTGGAAAATAAACCAAGCTTTCCACGCTGTTCTTGAACGGAACTTGATTATCTGAAATTACTGTTCAGAAATGCTAATACCTGCACTTTGGTGTTAATTTTCAATGAATGAACACATCCTCAACAGGAAGTACCCATCAAAAACTGGAAGAGAAATAGACAGTTATAGTATGACAGGAGTGCAGTAGTTGGTATAGAACAATATCAGCTTACTTTGCATATATAATTAAGTCCTGTAGTACCCTGAAGGTTTAGGGTGGACTGCAGACCATTGGGAGTAGCAAACAGCAGAGTTCTGTATAGTCACACTCCTAGGGTTCTCTTTGGCTTCTTCCTTGTCTAACCAGAGATTTGTAAACAGTTTAGTGTTTGTGTGGAATTGCATGAATATGTGTCTATGCAGTTACAGATAATATGAAATCCCTCTAATATTCTGGTTTTGATGCATATTGGAAGCTATTATGCCAATAGGTGTTCAGGATATTAAAATTCGTATTTAACCTGTACAGCTACAGAACAGTATTGGAGAAGAAAATGTTGCTCGAATGGGTATATAGTACTTCAGTGAACAAATCAAAATGGAGTGCCTACACTGTTCTACCATGAATGAGGCAAATCAGAATACAGATTTTTTTTCTTCCCCCCTTATTTAATATGAATTACAAGTAATGTGCAGTATTATAGGTGATGGCACTGTTGGTATCATTGTCTGGTGTTACCTAAGTTATAATTTTCATTGCCAAACTGCAACTGTTTTGGTTGAAATTTTGCATTCTAGATGTCTGCCTTTGGATGACTTCTTTTGGAAAATTTCAATCAAAATGGTTCAAATATTCCCAAGACTGAAGCTATTGGAAAGACACTATTCAATGTTAGTTTTCTAGAGACCTTTGAAAGTCTATAACTGTATAACATTTGAGCAGAGCAACTGTGATATATGAACATAGAAGGGGGCTAATAAGGACTGTATAGATAATCTTAATTCTTGGAGTTCCCATGTTCTGAATGCTTATTTTATGATCTTGTTGCCATGTGGGTGTACAGCAGTTTACACTATGTGATTTGTTTCATTTTGCTTTAGATTATTGGTTGCCAAGTCAGAAGAGAGCCACTGGAGTCTACTGAACGGTATACTCGTTGGATGAATAATCTGACAGAAGAACAACTTCTTACACAGGTATTCTTGTTTCAGCTGTGACTGAATTCACAGGAGAAAAATAGAGCAAGATGGATTTTTTCAGTCATTAGCAATACTTCATAACTTACTAAGGTTATCAGATTCTTATATTTAAAGGCTAGTCTTTTCAATAAGAGACAAGTTTATGGTGGATGGGATCATTGTGTAATGATGACTTCACACTGAGTGAGAATGAAGCTTTCAACTTCAGTTGAAAGTTTTGGGGCCAGTCTTGTTTAATATCTTTATCAACGATCTGGATGAGGGAAATTGAGTGCACCCTCAGTAGTTTGCAGATGACACCAAATTGGGTGTGAATGTCGATCTGCTCGAGCATAGGATGGGCCTGCAGAGGGATCTGGACAGGCTGGATTGATGGGCTGAGGCTAACTGTATGAGGTTCAACAAGGCCAAGTGCCAGGTCCTGCACTTCGGTCACAACAACCCCATGCAACGCTACAGGCTTGGCGAAGAGTGGCTGGAAAGCTGCCCGGCTGAAAAGGACCTGGGGGTGTTGGTTGACAGCCGGCTGAACATGAGCCAGCAGTGTGCTCAGGTGGCCAAGAAGGCCAACAGCATCCTGGCTTGTATCAGGAACAGTGTGGCCAGCAGGAGCAGGGAGGTGATTGTCCCCCTGTACTCGGCACTGGTGAGGCTGCACCTGGAATACTGTGTCCAGTTTTGGGCCCCTCAATACAAGAAAGACATTGAGTTGCTGGAGCATGTCCGGAGAAGGGCAGCGAAGCTGATGAAGGGTCTGGAGCACAGGCCTTATGAGGAGTGGCTGAGGGAACTGGGATTGTTCAGCCTGGAGAAGAGGAGGCTGAGGGGAGACCTTATCGCTCTCTACAACTACCTGAAAGGAGGTAGTAGTGAGGTGGGTGTTGGTCTCTTCTCCCAAGTAGTTAGCGATAGGATGAGAGGAAATGGCCTCAAGGCCTCTAAACCTCAGGGGAGGTTTAGATTGGATATTAGGAAAAATTTCTTCATGGAAAGGGTAGTCAAGCATTGGAACAGGCTGCCCAGAGAGATGGTGGAGTCACCATCCCTGGAAGTGTTCAAAAAATGGGTAGATGTGGTACTTTGGAACATGGTTTAGTGGGCATGGTGGTGTTGGTTTGACGGTTGGACTGATGATCTTAGAGGTCCTTTCCAATCTTAATGATTCCTAGGTTTTTACTTTTGTTATAAATAATCCAGCCACCAAGCCAGGAAACATGAAATTACTACTCTACCCTGAATTGGTTTAGTGGTGGACTTGGTAGTGTTAGGTTAATGGTTGGACTTGATGATCTTAAAGGTCTTTTCCAACCTAAATGATTCTATGATTCTGTAATTCAGGTTCGGAGTGAGCCTTACATTTCTCACTGCGGTCTCTGGTTAAATGCATATGCTGTCATGTTCTAATAATTAGGTTAGGGTTTTCTTTTGAAAAGGTGCGTTTAAATACAAAAGGAAAAAAAAAATCTTTCTTGAGAATGATTTCCCTCCCCCGCCAAGGTTAAGTACTGACCACTTCTGTATCTGTTTAAGTTTTGCTAGAGATCATTTTAAAATAGCAGGTCTTCAGGCATTACTCATTGGGCTCATTATACATGTTTGTAAGTAAGATGCATCTTGTGCAACTGAAGATGACAGTTTTGGCATAAAGAAAAGTTGTTTCGTTAGGCAGGCAGCCAATACTGAACTAAAAGAGACTTTGGCAAAAACAAGTTAAACTGTGGAAGAAATCAATCCAGCTTGTGAAGGAATGTGTGTACTGAGTATTATAAGAAATCTAATGGATGGTTAGCAGAAAACATCCCAGCAGGCATTAAGATGCAAGTATTTGGGGTTGGGTTTTGTGGTGCTATGGTAGGAAGACATTTGCTTTTGATTTTCCTGGATTTAAGTGGCTGAAAAGATTAACATACCCTTGTTTGTTAGACTATGTTGGAAACTGTGTTGTGTTCCCCATTATCCTAACCCCCAAAGACATAGGCTCTGGTATAGTCATTGTAACACAAGAAGTCATCTATTTGATTTAAAATCAGCAGTGGTGTTATGGTTCCCTATAATTCACCAAGTGAAAGTAGTTACAGAAAAAGTTACCCGTGGAATATTTGGGTTTGCCTTTGAGTATGGCATTAGAAAAAAAGTTATAGACTTAAAACAGTGAATTTATCTGACAGCAACATCTGGATCACTGTGTTGTTGAAGAGAAAGAAAAACTTGAGGATGTAAAAAGTTGTCCTACACAATCTGAAGTGTTTCATCCAAGTGGTCACTGGATGGGGTCTTTAATGAATTAAGCTGGAAATTAAAAGAAGTATCCTAATTCTGAGACTATTTAAGGGTGCGTATGCAAAAAGAAAGCTCATTTTAAGATGGGGATGTATGTCTTCTGGAAGAGATTATTTAATATAGTAGAATGCAAATACAGTGACCTGGGAAGTCCCTTGCAATGTGATGTGCCTGCAAATATCTCTTAAAGCCTTAATCAAGCAGCATGTGTAATCCATTATTTTTAACGTGTGATTTAGATTCACACATTTTACAAATAGATGAGGAATTTTGGAAAATGTTTTGGGTTTGGAACTAGAAGGCTGTGTATCAGAACTTGTGCTACTTGTCCATGAGTTTAACAAGATGAGATTTATAGAATCACACTATTGTTGTGTTCCTAATTATTTTTTTCTTACTTGTTAACTGTTCTCTACCAAATTTAACGTAGAAATGGAAATTCCTTAAAGACACTAGGTTTCTGAAAATTCTGTGGAAGTATGAAGCTAGGATAGATTGTGCTGCACCAGCTGCAGTTCATATGTTGTTGAGCACCCCAGAATGCATTTGGACAGAGATTTTAGGTGCCCAATCATAAGATAAGCTTCAGCTGTGACACCAGTCAGTAGGAAGCTTGGCTTTCCTGACTCTGGTGCTAAAAGAACTGCTTGATTTCCAGAGCAGTGCATGTCACCATGTGGCACCTCTTCTGCCTCAGTATCCATTCTTCTAATCAGAAATTCAGATAGGGAAGTAATTATTTTGCTTTTCCTTGACTTATAAAACTATGGGGAGGAGGAGGAACTGGGAGTGAAAACCATCTCAGCTGTTCCCTAATAATCAGGATATGAATCAATTATGTAAGGTTAGGCCTGATTTGTCCCACTTCCCTGCCCCCAGTACACCTTGCATTTTATTTTGGATGTGTTTTTTCAAACTCTCTTCAGTAAATAAGCCCCAGGAAAACTATAATGATGGGCCTTTGCTAATGGATTTGTAGAATCTCTGGGAGGAGCAGACCTTCAGGGAATTCAGGAAAATTGGCTTTAATTTACAGCATATTGTCTCCAGCAGTTTCCTGTAGTGAAAGAATGTTCAGCTTTTTTTAGCTGTCTTTGTCCTCAGTGCCCAGCTTTTTTTCCAGTTACTTCTGTTGCATTTCTGTATCATGTACATGCAAATTATTTGTGCTGTAAATTGGGAAACCAACCAATTAAAAAAAAAAAAATAGCCAATTGTCAAGATCGTGTATTCCCCTATCATAATATTCATGTTATTGATCAAATAATATCCTATAGCATTTGATTGCTTTACTAGACAGTGACTAAAGTCCAGTTTGAAAGAGGTGGGTGGTAGCAGATGTTTTGTTAGGTGGTTGGATGGCTTCATATGCCTCAGTGCTGGCTGCTGGTTTTATATCACTTGAGTCAATACCAGATTTTTGGATCAAATCTCCATCCCCTGTCCTCATGCTGAGAAGATCATTCAATACAAAATGCTTCTAGTATTTTAACTTTTCTTTTCCCTTAGCCATGGCCTCTTGATGGTTACTCATCCATTAAATGTTTCTCTAAACAATTATACTGTAACATTCCAAAGATACTTTATGGTATGCGTGAAATTTCAGAATATACACCCCAGAGAGTGTGGGAGGAGTAAGAGAGTACAAAGAGAGCATAATAATCAGAAAACTACTTTTTAAAAAAATTAATATTTGCTTGTTTAAGGTTGTCTTCTGTATAAATGATGAGTGATTAAAACACACTTATAGGTATATTAATATAAGCCTTAAAATACATGTATATGTGTTCTGGTAGATTTGCTATCTTTCTGGCCAATAGTGGGGGAAAAAAAAAATCATTATAATTGTTCAGTAAGTGCAGAGCACAGTGACAGGTACAGGAAGAAAACAAGCAAACAAATTAAGAGAACTGACTGTTTTGATGTTGGAGTAAGTGAAAAAATGTAGATTAAAACTAATCCTACAGGATATGTGAGTCCGAATTGTGCTTGAAATGTGATTGAAGTTTTATCATGTAGCCCTTCTTGTACACTGGAAATTTTACTGTATTGTGTAAGTAAAAATGTCTGAATGGCTTTAATGTTGGATTAATTACACAAATATTTATACAAGTAGTTTTTAAGGATTGTTGCTGACTGTAACACAGCTGAGTTCATATCCATGTGTGTTAAATCACTACTTTAGGTTAGTTTAGTCTCACAGGCTGTGAAGTATTATTTTCAGCCTGAAGCATAATTCCATCTGACCTACCATTTTTTCCTACCCAAAGACAAGACACTTCTCTGCTTTCACATGGTTGTTCACTTAGAAAGCAGATGGCAAGCTTAGAGTGATATGTGAGGAGGCTCTTGCAAAAAGGAGTGGGCTCTATGGTTGATAAGACTGGACTGTCCTAATTTAGAAAAATAATGGTCTGAAGAAAACATGATGGTTCTGTATGCCTGTTGTGCACCGTAATGTGTCTGTATTGCTTCCTGATACATACTGTGCTTTGCAGATTATCTCAGAGCTCTTTGTGTTGGATAAATCTGGAAGCTTTCACAGGAGATTTGTAGTTCTTACCAATAATCTGTCTGGACCACCTCATAGAAGAACATTAATTAACATGTTAGAGTTTCATAACATATACTTTTCTGTGCTGTTACAGGTGCCTGCTAAATTTAGCTAATAGGCTTAAAAGCTGTGCTTCTCTACTTACTAAGTCTTCCCTGTATTA